ATCATCATCCTACATAAATCATCACCAAAACATCCTGCATAAATCATCACCAAAACACCAAAACAGTATCACCAAAACACTAAAACACCTTGTTTCTTCCCTACTTCAATTCCATCTTCACCAAAACAGAGCCAAAATCTATTACAGCTTCACAAAATATACAATTAAAATATAAACAAATATTATAGATACCAACAATTCCAATCTCCAAATTCTTAGGTTCAGATTCTTCAATTGAATTTCGAATTTCTGCTTCATGATTTTTCTTTCTTCTTCAAGCGATTCCAACCTTGCTATTTGTTTTCTTCAGGGACTCAATTCCAGCTTCAAATTTCTCGGACAAGATTTTGTCGTCATCTTCCATCGCCCCTATCTCAGCTGTTTCGAACCATGAAAAAAAATCGCATCCCGTCTTCCAATTTTTGCAGCCATAGAACTTCTTTCCAGGATTTGAGCTCGTTTTTTAAGTCCTAAGTTGCGCCCTCAAGCCGCAATTGCATAGAATGTTAGATGAGGAACCCTGCAAACAAGAAGATTGCATTTTCAACTGTAATTTTTCATCTGCTTCTGGGATTAGGGTTTACAATGTTGGGGATTGTTGGAAATTTGGGGATTTTGTCTTATAAATCGATGTACAGCCACCTGTTAAATCCACCTGTACTCACATAAAAGACATATTGAATTTACACCCCCACGTAAGAAAATAATCCTTCCACGTCGGCAGCTAATCAATCCGTCACGTAAAGTGGACTAAATTTGATTAAAATGGCAACATAGTGGACCATTTTTTAAGACACCCTACATGATGGACCAAATTCGGAAAAGTGCCAACTTAGTGGACTAAAAATTAAATTTTGCCTAAAAAGGTCCTACAAAGATTAATATAAATATATTTTTTAATATGTGTAATTAAAATTGTGCATTTGTAACTTTTTTTAAAAATTGTTACAAAGATAAAACTATAACTAACGATTTTTATAAATTAATTAAACCATGTCAAGGTATTAACTATTAATACTGGGACATTTATTTAAAAGTGTGATTAAATTATGACGCTTTATACAAATGTGTCGTCATAATTAGTTATATGGCGACACATTTTGAAAATGTATTAAAATAATGTCACTTTTTGGAAAATGACACAATTTTTACTAATATGGCAACTGAAATTTTGAGGACGTCGGCCTGGCCGGAGTTGAGGCTCAACGGCGAGCGAAATAGTGATGTTGGCGCGGCAGAGCAGGGGCTCATCGGTGGGCTAGATATAGACGTCGACTTGGCCGGATCGAGGGTCAACGACGGGCGAAATAATAACGTCAGCCCGACAAAGCAGGCACTCATCAGCGGGCGAAATACTGACGTCACGGCTCAAAGGCTTCGTTCGCTTCACGAGACGTAGAAGGGTCGGGGGAGTGGTCATGTCTATTCCGAAGGCCTCCTGCCTATCGACTCTCCCCGATTTTTTCGTCTGGGTTCAACTCGAGAAGGCACGGAGTGCAAATAATATAGATTCACATGACCATTGACCTGAATAAATCGAGTTGGTGAAGACGGGATTTGCCTGATTCTCGACTGTGGAGAGTCGTTGACAGTTCGGCTATATATATCAGAGTGAGTTGGCTAAAGCGGGGTCTATTTGGATCTTCCGGACTAAAATGGGTGTTGCCCAACCAAGTGTTTTCCCGACTCTAGGCTTGAACCTGACTGTATAGAGTTCGTTTCTTCTAATATTTCACAAGTTAGTAGCGAAGGACTAGGGAGACAAATACATTTTTCCGAACGACTATAGCGTAATGCATCGCGTTTTGGTCTTTATACTGCGTAACGAAAATAACGTTGCATGTTGTGTAATTTATAATAATAATTATAATAATAATAATAATAATAATAATAGTATTAGCTTTTCCATTGCAAAAGGAGTGGGGGCCCAGATAGTATCTCGGCTCCCTTCCAATTTCTTGTAATCATTTTGATTCCGTAATAATAATAATTAATAAATAATAATAATAATAATAATAATAATAATAATAATAATAATAATAATAATAATAATAATAATAATAACCATTTACTAAAATAGTAGTCAAAATATTTGTAAGCATTTAATGCTACTAAAATAGTAGTCAAAAAATTTGTAAGCATTTAATGCATATTGTTTTAGAAACCTTTTAAACATCTGCATTAATTGCTTCCATATAATTTTATTAAATATATTATTTCCTTAAATAATTCTATTAATATCTGAAATAATTTCATTGATATCAATTATAATAAATTACAAAATCTATTTTTCTTGATTCATGTTGATAATACTTTGGTCAAGATAAACATTACAAAATATTTTATGTTTTAACCATAATATTAATTTTTTTCACAAATATTCACTTTTTATCCAAAAATATTTATAAAAAATCGTAACAGGTTAGGTAGAATTTTTTCTTCCAATTAATCAGGCAAAATCAAGTTAGTGAATTAACCTTTATCAATATAATATTTTCTTAATATTTATTTCGCCATATATGCAAAATACATTATTCTTCAAATTAATATAATTTACTATTTAAGAGATAATGACCAGATACATTAAATAATTTAACTAGTGGCCAAAAAATAAAATAAAAATATATTAACTGTTCTTTAGAATTTATTTGTATATTATTGCCTTATTGGCAACCATGATTACTTTTTTTATTGTTTTTCTTTTATCTTGATTTATTTCTACAATGAAATTCTTACAAAATATATTTTCATTGCTGAGTATACTAAATAAACAATAAATTCTTATACTGCGAATTAGAAAAATCTTGATTATAGAAGGGATTGAGTTTTGGTATTTTCTAAATCAAAGTTGTTTAATTAGTGTACAAAATTAAATTCTAAAAAAACATGTGTGTCTATTTTGTAAAATTTATACACTATTTAATTCTAAATTTATTTACATATGTGCATTAAATATTTTTCATTTAATAAAATAAAAATAAAAAGAATATGTACACCTTCTATAACCATTACAAATAATAATGACATTACATTACAACAAAATTTATAATAAAATAATACTTAAGTATTATATGGTGAACAAGAATAATTAAAACTGTTATTTTCTCTTATATCAAGGAATGAATATATATATATATATATATATATATATATATTCATCAAATTTATATTAGTATAAATGTGTTAGTGAGATAATATATTAATTATTTTACACGCTAGCTTAATATGCTCATATTGAATGTTCTGACTAAAACAATAACGCTGATTAAAAGAGGTGAAAAATATATTATAACCCTATTATTTTTTATACTTATCGCTGATTTAAAAAGATGGAAAATAGATAATAACCTATTATTGCCTTTTGAACTTAAACGGACAAAGTCTATGAAAATAACTCTTTTAATATCTATGTTCGTGCATTGCACGGGATATGTACTAGTTTTTTTTTATAGGAATACTAGCTATATACTTGCATATAATAAATCTGGATGGTTGATTCAAAAAATTATCATAATATTTGAATGAACTCAAAATAACATCTAAGAATTATTTCTTACAAATATTTAATGTAAATTCATAATATAAATATTTAAATAATAAAGCGAATATACTAACAAGTAAAACAAACAACGAAAATATAATAAATAAGTCATAACTTAATTTTACGCATATATATATATATATTGCAATTAACTTTTAAATTTGATTATAATTTGATTATAATTTGATTCTAACCAATAAATCTGAACTTTTCATTCTTAAATGTCAAATACCGAAAAATATAATGATATAATAGACCTGGACCAATGTATATTGCACTATTCTAATTTAGGACTTTGCATTTTCAAACTTTTAAATTGAAATCATTATCAAAATTTTAAATTTTTGTCACTTAAAAATATAACTCTAATCACTAAAAAATACAAACTTTTTGAATAATGTTTAAATGTAGTTGCAGAAAGATAGCGCAAAATAGCATGAAATGGTGCAAAAATAGCATAAAAAGTGTGTTATTTCAGCATTTCGCGTAAGCTTATCGGAAAAACGCTAAATATATAACGCTACGTCGTGTTGTTTGGAAATAAAAATATAGCAAACTTAAAACAATACCAAAAAATGCAACCTCTCGGCCGAAGTCCGAACTGAGGTTCACATAGTACAATAATGTCTTTTGGTTCCACCAGTGTCTCTCGATCGTGTACGACCACATTCAACCCTGGCAGTGGATGGAGGACATGATGGACGAGACCCTAAACTGTAATTTAGGGTTTAGAATGGATGCGGGAGCAGGGAAGCGACAACCCGATGAGGGGAGGCCGCTGAGTCGGAGGTGTGTGTGTTTGTGTGTGTGTTTGTTGAGAGAGAGAGAGAGGGAGAGAGAGAGAGAGACATTGTGTGTATGCACGCGTGAGTGAGAGTAAGAGCAAGGTGGGGCCCACATGAACATGTGCGGGAAAAAGAATATTTAATATATAATATATATTTTAAGTGTATAATATTGACTTGTTTTTGGCTATTGGGATTATTAAGACCTTACGATTATAATGCAATTCTTATTTCTTTCACTAAATTGGGATTATTAAGACCTTACGATTATAGTGCAATTCTTATTTCTTTCACTAAAAACCATTTTTAGTGAAACCCGTTTAAAACCCTCATCTTAAACTTTTACTGAGAACCATTTTTAGTGAAACCCATTTAAAAGCCTCATCTTAAATACAAATCCATGCATATCTTGATCTGACACCAAAAAGACAAGGTAATGGCCAATGGGATACAACTAGTTGCCATTAGTATTAGTAGGTATAAATATATAATACAAAAGGCTGGAAATAGCCAAAAGAAAATTCACTTGGATAGATAGAACGAACTCTCCCACATATATCATTTTCATATACCATACATATATATACATTATAAACAAATCACATGTATCCAACCTGTGTGAAGAAACAAAACTAATGGGGTATAGTATCCAAAAAAGGCCATCAAGTTGTTCATCAGCTGCTTCCAGTGGGTACCGACTGAGTAAACGAACACAACCATCTCCGTCCCTCACTCTGTGAGCCGGACCTCCTGAAGCTCAATCTTGAACACTTGACGAGCAATGGCGGGCTCGTCTCACGGAAACCCAAGCAGAGACTCGGGCTATGCAAAGAACCAAATGGTACACAGGTGAAGTCGGGTGTTTCCTCAGCCGAGCACGTGCACAAGGGCAGTGATCTGATGCTTCTCTCCATCCCCTTGACTATTGGCCGGGTCTCAAGGAGCTTGACGAAAGAGACGATCCCATGGCGGCACAAAGGGCACGCAATGGAGCCCGGCGGGCTGGGGCCCACGGTGGATGTGCTGTTTGTGGAACATAGGTACAACGCGCAGTGGGTGCACAACTCGTGAAGACAGCCTGAATGGTATGAGTTTTACAGTACGATATATAGTAAATAAACACTGTTACTGTTGGAATCAGTGAGATAATTGATATGGTGAAAAAATCTATACCTTCTGCAGCAACTGTGCACTTCTTTTCCAAGCAAACCACGCATGGATCTAAGCATGTCGAGGCTAAATCACTGCCTCTCCATCCGCATTCTCTTAATTTTTCAAAAAAAAATTAATGCTTTAATAATATAAAAGGCCAGAACAGATATGAATAAACAAATCCCATATTGCATACATGTCTACTTCATCTATCATACGACAAAATATTTTTACTTTATACTCTCCAATTTCAAGTGACTTAGAAAACGATTTAATTGAAATCGACACAAATAGAGTGATTCAGCTGACCTGGCAATCTCCACAATGCTCATAAGAGGAAGGCATAAATATGGGGAAGGACTAAGCCTTTTTTCGCCGCCCGATCCTGGAGTAAGGATGTGCTCAAGACAATCTCTATGCCATGAACGAGCAACCATCAACGGTGTCCATCTTGTAAGATGTAAAAGCTAGTGAGTTTGACGTTCGTGGAAATTAACAAAAGATTCACTTAATTAAGTATTAACTGAAATAGCAACACATTTCACAAGATCCATAAACCGAACAATCTAAAATAAATAAGATAACAAAAGCTTTCATGAACTGCGTAAAAAAGCAAAGACTGAAAACCCGCATACCCGTTCACATTTTCTGTTGTAAGACTGGCACCCCTGGCTATCAAAAGCTGAAAGTAATCATAGAACGAAAATGTTTTAGCAAATTAATAGCGGGAAGAATGAATCTTTCAGCCACCAAATATACCAACCTGGCAGCACTGTGCATTACCACCACATGCAGCATAATGGAGTGGAGTGCTACCAGCACCTTTAGAGCAAAAATGTGACGAAACAAAGTATAATTAATGAAAAAACTAACTTTGTAAGGTTTAAGCATAAAATAGTTTCATTTACTAGTCTACATAATAAATGGCCAGATGCTTATACAACCATCAAGTTCATAGTCAAACTAAAGTATTACATTGTGAAAAATAATACTTGAATAAACATTTAAGCATACTCTTAAAGAACAGTTTCTGTGGATGATTTATGAATGCATGAAAAGAATGTAAACTATTATCTGACCGATTAAATCAATAGTAGCTCCATCTTGCACAGTTGTGTAAGATACAGAGGCCCCCAGATCAAGTAGGAGGTGAACAGTCTCAACATGTCCGTTTAATGCAGCCATATGAAGTGCAGTGACTCCACCATCAGCAGGTCTATTGATTATTGCATAGAGTGCACTGTCGAAAAGAAGGTGGAAAAATGGAAAATTAGATTGCTCGCTAAGAAATTCAGTCACATATACTAACAGAAGACTGGGATAACTAGAAACACTAACCCCAGATTGCACCTTAATTTATATAAAAATATTATCTTTTAAAACTACACCACACATACCCTTCCATTGAGTATACAATTTACAGAAATTTGAAAAGAAAGATTATGGTCAAGGAGACACTTGTAGTTCGAAAGATAACTGGTTTTTTCTTCATTTTAAAATTAGGCTGAACCACAGGGCAAGTTTTGTAGCTATCTCACAGATAATCCAGACAAGTACCCTTCATCAAACTCCAAAAGAGACTTGTTATTTCGTGATTTTTTCCTCAAGTGACAGTAAAACCTAGGATTACTGGGAATGTGATCTGCAAGCAGTAGACGAATGCAACGAAAATGGCCATTTAGAGCAGCCAAGTGCAGTGCAGTCCCGCCATTAAGATAATCAGCTCTGTGAATCTACGTAAGAATAGAAAATGTGAAATCATGTCCTTTTACGCAAACAGAAAATTGAATTATACACAAATCTTGAAATTATCTTAAACAATGCAACAACATTAAGTCGTACATTGGCTTTGAAGAGGATCAGAATCTGAACCACCTCCCAGTGGCCATATTGGCATGCTTGCATCAAGGCAGTCTGTCAAAACAGATAGAGATTAAAATGCACATATTCTTACTGAAGATACATTACTGTACTTACAACAAAAACTCCATCATCATCGAGCAATAAATTTTAAAAGCTGTTAAAATATACCATTTACACCACTAAAATTGTAGGACTTGTTGGCAAAAACTCATGCTTTAATAAAATGTGACTTACCATTCTGACCTAAAAGTTGAACTGCAAACAAAAGCTACAATAAGAATGAGCTACACGAAAGTGTTTCAGGAATAAGTAGTAAAACTGCTTATTTATTTGTTGAAGTCAAGCCAAAATATAACCGGAAAATTTTAAAGCACCACACTTCCCAGTAGTTTTAGATTCCGACTAAACCATGCGAAATCAATAGCAAAACCCAATAAATGAACCCACAAAAGCTAATATTTTTTCCATTATAATTTTCTACTGACCGTCCAAATAAATTATATATCGGAAAGAAACATTTGAAAATAACATGAGAAACAATCCACCTGCCCACGATAGTTCCTGAGGTTAACATCAACTCCAGACTCGAGCAAAAGAGCAACAATCTATGAAGAACAACGTAAACCGAAAATTAATATCACATAGTTACACACTACTTTACACATGACGAAGCTATAACTTCAAAGCTACACAACGTATGTTACCTCATGATGGCCCTGAGCCGCAGAATAATGTAAAGGCGAATTACGAACGCCGAAAGTAGAATACCTCGCGAGACGAGGATTATAATCTAACAGGGCCTTGGCTTCTTGAAGATCGCCATCTCTAGCAGCCGATACCAAACGCTCACCAGAAGCCGAACACCCGAAAGAATTACCCACAAGACTCAAAAACTTCATACTCGATATAATGCATACACCACCAGCACGAGTCCTAACTTAATTCAGGCAATAACCAATCCACTCTCTCTTGTACATACTTACCCACCTAACCATAATCAATCTCTGTCTGTAAGAATATCCTAAAACTATAATATGTTCGGAAATTGTCAGGATTTCATGAATTCTGATGGGCAGACCAATGGTAAAGACTTTCTATTATGTGGAACAGATTTGCCCATCATTGGCCGGTTTGCATATCAGCCTTGATCATGAATCTATTTAGAGGGAAAAGAACAGCAATATATATATACCTTGATAAGGGCATAAAATCAAGAAAAGCCTACATAATACTGTATCAAATTTCAAGGCAACCAAAGAAAAGTCAATTTCCACGACAGAGAGAAACAAGAAAAATCTCAATCCGCACTTTTCGATCAGCAATGCCAAGATGCCCTGCCCTATTCTTGATATTTCCGAAAATATTTATACAAAATGCCTAAAATCCGATCTCCGATTTTCGCCGGAAAATCAAGATTTCAAGAACCCAGTTTGCCGAAACTTGCCGGAATATCAGAAATATTCCGTTCATCCCCTCCGTCCCAGCACAAAAGGGGGATTTTTTTTTCTAGTTCTTAATATTAATGAAATGAGGAGCTGTGCTTAATATTCGGCTTAAGCCTGCAGTAAGATCGTTTATACGTGTACACAAGTACTATACACGAGATAATAACAATAATAACCATATCTATATAATGAACTTATTCTTTAATATTATTATTAAAATTTCGACGTGTTATTTATTGTGTCTCTATAATGAACTTATTGTAAAATATTTTTCTACTAGTATAACACTCGTGTATTACACGGGTGCTTGTTAATTTTTTTCTTAAAGTTTAAAATTAATGAGAAAAATAGTTGAAAATTTAAATAGCTTTTACAAAAATATATATATATTATTAT